GGGGGGAGGGAATGTGGGTGTGGCAGCGCTTGGAGCAGGGGCTCTGCCCTGCTGCCACTTACCTAGCTGGGGCGGGGAGGGGCAGGATGAGGACACAGCTCACTCCAGGCGGTAAGGGGCAAGTGGCAGCAGGGCATAGTCCCCACTCCCAGTGCTGCCACACCACTATCTCATGCCCTCCCCACTGCCTCGCAAGTGGTGGCAGGGCAGGGCCCCTGCTCCCAGGGCTGATCCGGGCACGGCAGCACTAGGAGCGGGGCTATGACCTGGTGCCTCCCAGAGCAAGCCACACCTGCATCACGCCCCCCTGCATGCCACCTGGGCAAGCAGCAGCAGGCAGAGCCCCTGTGGCTCCCTCCGCTGGGGCAGAGGCAGGCATAGCCAGGGGAGCCACAGGAGAAGCCCCCATGGCTACCCTGTCCGTACCCATCCCCCGCCCAGCCCAGCCTCCCAGCACTAAAGAAAAAAAGCCCCCCACTCATTAAATGCCAGAGCAGTGATTGGGGCCTCTGGGCACTCATGGCACAGCCCCCCTATGCAGCGTGGGGCAGTTGGGGGCAGCGGGGATTGCCCCCCCGCTTGGCACCCATGCGGCAGCTGTCGCATCGTGCAGATGCAGCATGGCTTGGCAGGGTGCTGTGCACTGCCTGGGATCTCGGGCGGCTGCAGCAGTCACCCAGAGCCCAGCAGCGCTCGGCCTCAGCTCTTAGGTAGCGTGCTACACCCTGCCAAGCCATGCTGCATCTGTGCCTTGGGGCAGCTGCAGCATAGGTGCCAAGCAGGGTGGTGCAATCCCCGCTGCCCTGCACTGCGTGGGAGGGCTGTGCCATGAGCACCCAAAGGCCCCAATCACCACTCCTGCTTTTGGTGAGTGCGGGGCTTTTTTTTCTGGTTTTTTTTTGTTAAAGTGCCAGGACTAGGCTGGGGCCAGGCAGGTAATGGGACGAGGCAGGGCAGCCGTGGGTGCTTCTCCCGTGGCTCCCCCAACTCAGAGAGAGTCATGCACAGTTGTAGGAGCCGTGGGAGAACCTGCAGCTGCCCAGCTGTGCTTGCCTCTTCCCAGTCTATCCGAATCACCGAATCTCTCCAAATCAGTACTGAATCTTCCAAAGCTGATTCAGCCGTACCAATTCAGGACAGTGATCCAAATCGAATCACTATCCTTCAAATCAGCTGAATCTGAATCAAATACTTCCCTATTCGCACAGGCCTACTAAATACATGCATCATAAAAGTGAAGAGAAAGATAAAGAAAAATGGGAGACTCTTGGGCACATTTCAGAGGACAATTTCATAATGTAATGAAAACATTACAGAAGACAACCCTCATCTTTAGGAAAACCATGCAACAGAGACAATCCTAAAATGTTTTTTCTTCTTCTGAAATATTACCAGCACATTTGAAAAATTCTCTACAATTCAAATTTAACAGCAGCATACATATAAATACATATCCAAACCCCTTACCTGGAACACACAAATAGGGAAGACAGGGTTCTCCAGACTGACATCCTTTTCTATTTACTTCACAAAGTTGATTGGCAGCACAAGGATTTGGGTTACATGGATGAGTCACATCTTCTACAATGTTACCCAAAGAACTTGGGCCTGAAAATGTAATTATAGATTAGGTATGGTGATTTGAATACTCTATTTTCTCATACACAGTATAGTCCAGAATATAATATACACCTTGTTTTTGAAAAGCAAAATGAAGGAAAAAAAGCTGTTCCAGATTTATGATTACATAAAGCAGGGACAGAGCCTAATCTTCAGTTGACTCACCCACCCTTTCCTGCTTAACTAAAGCTAAAACCCTAGCTGCTTCTAAAGACTGGTCTTCACGGGGTGGATGTATAATTCTGAGAAGAACTAAAGTCTCCAGAACTGTAACAGGTGGAGAGAGAGGGAGAGAGAGAGAGAGAGAGCAGAAAAAGCTAGCAAAACAGTACTATGCCACAGCTGCTGCCCTGTAGAGCAGGAATCAAAGCAGGGTGCTTTTATCTAGGGAAGAAAATCAGCTTCCCTGATTAATACAAGCACTCCAAGTTTTGGGAGAAGGGTGTAATTCTATGTTAGAAAATACAGTAATAACAAGGTCTATTAGTGGCATTATCCAACTTGACTAGGGGTGCACCGATAAAGATTTTTTTTGGCTGATACCAATGACCAAAAATCAGCCATATTGGCCAACGATGATCTGACAGCTGATTTACAGGAATGCAGCCTGGCAGCTTGAAGAGCAGCATCCAGCCATTAACTCTGTGGCGGGGAGAAGGGGTGTGGGGAGAGGCAGGAGACTGAAAGCCTCCACAGTGAGGAAGGGAGTAGGGCAGGGACAGGAACTGCCCAGTCAGGGCAGTGAATGTGACCCTGCCAAGAGTGGGGTGGAGCCACAGGTGGCTCATCCCGAGGGCATGGGGTGGAGCAGTCTCACACCCCACCCCAGCTGGGCATCACCCTGCCTGTGCCCCACTCCCTCCTTCCCTCACCATGGGGTCCTTGATCTACCCCCAACCCCCACCCCTT